TCCTTCGTCGAATCCGCCGGCCGCGCCGTTCTCAAGCCCGCCGGCCACCACTCACTCAAGCCCCCTGGCCTCCGCTCACTCTGGCCCGCTGTGTGTTTCGTTGTGAAAGTGAAACTTCTTTGTTTGGTCTTCCAAAAGAGGACACGACTAGAAATCAGTGGTTAGATGAACAGTGCTCATGTAATAACATGTAATAATAGTACTTGTCTAGTCATCAATTTTATTTATTATTTTAGAGTCATCATCATCTTCAGGAAGAAAAGAACCAAATTCCAAGCACTGCAGCCTCTAGAACATGAGTTTATGGCAGAGGTGTAAAGAGTACCTAAAAACCATACTTGAGTAAAAGTACAGATACCTTACAGTGAAAATTACTCCACTACATGTTACAAGTCACCAATTCCAAAACAACTTGAGTAAAAGTCTTAGAGTATCTGATTTTAACAGTACTTAAGTATTTTACTTATACTAAATATAGGCTCAAAAAATGCACTAGTCAAAGAGACACGCTAGTTAAAAAACTGTAATGTTGTGGAGAAGCTGGGGAAAAAGGCAGAGGCAAGGACTCCAATACTTTACACCTCTGGTTTATGGCTTATATGGGCTTATATCTAATGTTTGCATTGTTTTAGTATTGTTTTTGACAAAGAACATTTTAAAAATCTCTTAGGTCTCATAGCAAATTTGAACAGTTGCAGGTGCCCACACTGACAACCAAAATGTTAGATTAGTCAAAATGTCCTTTTCAATTTCTGGGTAATTTAAGTATTGTAGAGTCAATATTGTCTGTGTATTTTTGACAAACACTGCCACCTTGTGCCATATGCATAGTCCTACAGCCAAAACTCTGATAACAAGAATGAGGGAATGAGGTCATTTGAATGCTATATGTGTGTGTGTGTGTGTGTGTGTGTGTGTGTGTGGTTTATGGCTTATATGGGCTTATATCTAATGTTTGCATTGTTTTAGTATTGTTTTTGACAAAGAACATTTTAAAAATCTCTTAGGTCTCATAGCAAATTTGAACAGTTGCAGGTGCCCACACTGACAACCAAAATGTTAGATTAGTCAAAATGTCCTTTTCAATTTCTGGGTAATTTAAGTATTGTAGAGTCAATATTATGGGGACATTTTTCAGCTAACCTATAATAGTTAATAGTTAAATTGATAAATTACATAATAATTAAATGCGAAAATGTATATATTCTAAATAAATATCATCGCAAAAAATGTAACATTACATTTATTAGCTGAATGCATGTATAGTACATAACATTTTGCACTGAAAATACTTTCCATTTCTAAAGGCTTCAGTGTGGAATATTGTAATTAGATCGTGATAATATAATAAAGAGTTTTATCTGATTATTGAGACATTTTTCAGCAATAATAGTTAAACGTTTCAGCAATAGTAGTTAATAAATTCATTATTGGAATAATAATTAATGCATAAATTAGCATTTATATATAGTAGTATATGTAATCGTATAATAATATAATCGTATAAATAAATAAATAAATAGATAATATAATCCTATAAATGTAATTATTACTACAAAATGCAGAATTAAAAAAAAATAAAATGAAAACATAAGTTAATGATAAATTGTATTAAAGTGGGAAGATATTTATCGCATTGGTCATATATTGGATATATTTTGCACATCTGTCTGACCTAACAAAATAGGTTAGAAACAAATTCTCTTCCATCACACACGCCCTCTCGCCGTACGCCACGCCCTGGAGTTCCGCCCCTCTCTCGCAGGGCGGAAGCTGTCATTCTAACCGCTTCCTACTTCCTGCGTCAAAACATTCCGGTGTGTCTATGCGGCTTTAACGGCGCTTTTCGGATTTTATGAGTGATTATGGCTGCGAACAGCAGCACCGGTTCGGCTACGGAGCCTCCGGGACTGGAGACCCAGTGGCGGGAGATCGACAACCTGAACCAGCAGCAGCTCCGGGCCGGAGACAGCTGGTGAGAGAAACTTCAGCCTAAATAACAAACAAACAAACATTTCATTAAACAACAACAACTACAATACAGATAAAGCACTAACAGTGCCCTGATGAAACTGATAACGCGCTCGAGTTTGTGCGTTTTGGGGGTCTTTTAGGTTCTTCAGATTTAGAAACAACCATGCCAATGTGATTGAGATTTAAATGATTCAGACATCAAATAAAATAGGGAAACTAACATCCAGGTCAGTTTTCAGGCCTAATAGATTGGGTTTCCTGGTTAACAGCTTCCTTAGCATCATTAAGGTTTGACAGGTTGCTTGTCGTACCAGATTCCAAAGTCGTCAACTCTACCCGCGTTAAACTGTTTCATTTATTTTCATTTTC